TTTGCCATAGGGCACATGTGCTCACCTGAAAGAGAGAGAGAAAAGGAGAGAAGGAAAGTAAGAAATCACCTCCTGAGGGAATGACGGTGCCATAGTCCCTTCTCCATGCTCCTCTCGGGATTTGGGGCACACACACACCCATGCCCAGCATGATTTTCAAGCTGCTGAATCTGGGACTTAACCCACAGTCGGTCATGTAGGAATCAAGCACCTTAACCACACCACCTGGTGGTCCCCTAAATGGTTTTAAATAGGGAAATAATATGATTATACTTGTATTTAAAATGATCTTTTTGGCTTCAAAATGGAGAACTAATAGGAAAAGACTGGAGTTAGAAGATTCATTAGGAATTTATAAATAATGGGAACCAGCAGTTAGCGTAATGGCTATGTCGCTGGACTCCCACGTAGTTGACCGCGGTTCGCATCCCGGACCCGGTGGTTTAAAACTCACGCCGGGCACGTGTGCATGCATGCCCAAGATCCCGAGAGGAGAATGGAGGAAAAGGGATTGCGGCATGACCATCCCCCCTGGGGGGTGATTTCTCGCTTTCTGTCTCTATGTCTCTCTCTGTCTGTCTGGCGAATGCACGTGCCCTATAGTGAAAAAAAAAAAAAAACCTCTCCAAAAAAAAAAAAAAAGAAGTAAAGGAATTTATAAGTACCATAATAATCCAGATGGAAAACTATGGTGGCCTAGGAAGTTGAAGATAAAGTGGAGAGAGTCGAGATATTTTGGAGAAACAGAACTAACATCATTTAATAATGGATTAGATATATGAAAAATTGTATGGAGGTGGTTATCATTCACCATGACAGAAACAGGAATAGTACCCAGTTTTCCTGTTTATATAGGTGGGGGGAGGGGTAGGGTGACAGGGTAGAAGGGTGTTAAGAATAATGATTTTGAGGACTACTGAAGACTCTCTGCCCAGACTTCACCCTCCTCCCCCCAGATCTACCCAGGGTCAGAGTAATCCTCAATTTCCATGGAATCTGATGCACGAAGAGAAAAACGGTACTGCTTAGAGATTGCAGATCACCTTCTCCTGCATGCCTCTGAATGTTTAGTTGAACTCCAAAAACTAGGAAAAAAACATACAATCATTCAGATGACCAGAAACCATTGATCGCAAAGGTACGGAAAATATCGTTCCCTTAAGGGAAAAGAGTAACTCCTCATTCTCTACAGACAATACAAGGGAACTCGTGGAAATGTCAGATAAAGAATTTAAAATATTTGGGAACAGCAGTTGGCGTAATGGCTATGTCTCTGGACTCCTATGTAGCCATCCACAGTTCAAGTCCCGGACCTGGTGGCTTAAACTCACACCAAGCACATGTGAGTGTGTGTGCCCAAGATCCCAGGAGGAGAATGGAGGAGAAGGGATTGCGGCATGGCCACCCCCCCTGGGAAGTGACTTCTGTCTTGCTGTCTCTCTGTCTCTCTCTGAATTTCTAGTGAGTGCACGCACCCTATAGCAAAAACCTCTCCCCCCAAAAGAAAATAAATTAAAAAAATTAAAAAGGCTCCTGAACCTGTATTCTTAACCAACACCCATGCCAGTGTCTCTTGTGTCTTCTTTACAATTTGCTCAATTCTCCCCAAATTAAGAGTGCTCCTCTGCCAACACTGCTGTCAATCACGGCCAAGGTACTAGCACACTGTGAGCCTACTAAGCCTTCCAACACGTTGGCAAAGAATAGTACAAACCAGAGAATAGGTATACTTGTACAAATGAGAGAATACAGGTATAAATGGTTACTAAGGTAACTGGCAGTTTTGATAACATGATTTTTGTTTGTTCTTTTAAAGACTTAAGCTTCGCATACACATACTAAAACTATGACTATCTCGGGACCAGCAGATGGCATAATGGTTACGTTGCTGGACTCCCACATAGTCAACTGTAGTTCGAGTCCCAGAAATCAGAGGCTTAAAACTCACACCAGGCATGTGTTCGTGCATGCCCAAAATCTTGGAAGGAAAACAGAGAAGGGATTGCGATATGGCCGTCCCTTCCAAGGGGTGATTTCTTGCTTTCTGTCTCTCTGTCTCTCTCTCTCCAGTGAGTTCACACAAATACAGCAAAAATGTCCCTAAAAACAAACAAACGAACAAACAAACAAACAAACAAAGGGGCCAGCAGGTGGCATGGTAGTTAAAGACACTGGGCTCTCTCATGGATGACCGCAGTTTGAGTCCAAGACCTGGCAGCTTTCTCATTTTCTCTCTCTCTCTCTCTCTCTCTCTCTCTCTCTCTCTCTGTCCCTCTCTGGTCAAATTAAAACTAAATAAAGTAAAATAATTCTTAAAAAAGAAAAAAAATATATGTCTATTTTGATACATAAATATACCAAAAACAAAAAATTCCAACTATGAAGAAAAATAAAACAGTGTGAGAGCAGAAAACATTAAGGCTACCTTTTGGATTTGCGAGTTAGTACAAGTTCTGACTGAGGAAGGGAGTTTGGAGCAGAATCCTGAACAAAGCAATCTAGGTATTACTTGGATCAGTTATTTACTTCCCCGATTAGGAAACACATTTTCTGACTTTGCTGACTTCATCAAACTGGCCCTTCATGAAACTGATGATTAACTGACTCTTTCCATTTTTTTTAATCTTGATTACTTGACCATGTGTAATTGGCCCCATGATTAGGCAGGTTAGGATTCAGACTACATATAATTTCCCTACTGATCATTAACTAGCCCTGGGTTTAGCTATTAACCAAAGGTCTGCTCTTTCTCTTGTTCATGTGACCTTGTTTACATTTGTCCTTGAGTCTCAGCTGGATTTTATCTCCTCATAATGTTAAATAGAGTACCTCAAATACAACAGTTCATCCAAGCAGTTAGAGACAAGATGGAGCCAAAATCTTATTCCTCTTACTCTATACCTAGTTAGGATTGAGTGGTAAGACACCAGAGAAAAATTTAACCTACTATCTTCAACCATAAAATGGCTAAAGATCATCTCACTTTTGGAAAAACATACTTTCACAAGAATAAGAAATTAGAGTACAGAAAAAGAACAGTGATAATATCTCAAGAAATATGCCAAGATAGAAATCCCATGAAGCTATAAAATAATCTCAGTGGAGAAAATGGAGAGTGGAAAGAAAAAAAAACAAAGTTTTTACAACATGGGAATTCTCTCAAATGGCTGCTCTGTCTTCTGTCTACCTTATTCTCCATTCCTATCGCTCCTGACCAAGTTAATGGTATGCCACTGTGTGACACATCAGGGAAAGAAAATTACTTTCTAGAATTCTGGGTCGGCTGTGTGGCATAGTAGTAAAACACCGCTCAAGCAAAACTAGATCCATATGCAAGACTGCAGGGGTTGGTTTGCACACCCATGGTCCTGGCTGGCTGGGAGGCCTGGGGGAGAGACTGTAGTGTGAGACCCAGTTGAAGGTACTTATCTCCTTTGCTCTTTTTAAAAAAAATTATTTCATTTTAACTTTATTTATTTATTTTTAATTTGACTAGAGAGGGACAGAGTGAGAATGTAAGAAAGCAAGCCTCCAGGTCCAGGACTCAAACTGCAGTTGGCCATGTGGTAGTTCAGCGCCCTTAACCACTATGCCACCTGCTGGCCCTTCTCATTTACTCTTTCTTTCTCTTTCAAATCTTCTTTAAGGTATATTTTATTTTTTTAGAATTATTTTTATCCAACTTTATTTTATTTTATTTTTTAAAAATCTGACCAGAGAGGGGAACCAGCAGTTGGCATAATGGATATGTTGTTGGATTCCCATGTAGTTGACCACGGTTTGAGACTCAGTCATGGTGGCTTAAACTTACACTGGGCACACGTGCATGTGTGCCCAAAATCCTGAGAGGAGAATGGAGGAGAAAGGATTGTGGCATGGCCATCCCCTCTGGGGAGTGATTTCTCGCTTTCTATCTCTCTGTCTCTCTCTGTCTTTCTGGCAAGCGCATGTGCCCTATTGCAAAAACCCCTACAAAAAAAAAGAGGAACAGAGAGAGAGAGAGAGAGAGAGAGAGAGAGAGAGAAAGTGAGAAAGCAAGCTGCCAGGTACAGGACTCAAACCACGGGCAGCCAGATAGGAGTCTAGCACTCTTAACCACCATGCCACCTGCCAGCCCCTAAGATGTATTTTCTAAATTTCAAGAACCAGCAGGTGGGGCTAGCAGGTGGTGTGGTGGTTAGAGGTGCTAGATTACCACATGACGGACCGTGGTTCGAGTCCTGGACCTGGCGGCTTGCTTTCTTTCTCACTCTGTCCCTCTCTGGTCAAATTGAAATAAATAAATGAATAAATAAGTAAAGTTAAATAAAATAATTCTAAAAAAAATTTTTTTTTAATTAAAAAAAAAAAGAACCAGCAGGTGGCAGGTGGTTAAGGCACTGGACACACCCACATGGTCAACTGTGGTTGAAGTCCCAGACCTGGTGGCTTGTTTTGTCACTTTCCCTCTCTCTCTCTGGTCAAATTAAAATAAATAAATGAATAAATTAAATTAAATAATTCTTAAAATAAATAAATTTCAGGTAGCTAGTTGTGAGCCTCAAATGAAGAATTAAATATTATTAGAAGGGTTATTGAAAAAATGAGAATAAGAAACAAATACCTTCATAAATTTAAATCTACAAGCAAAAGTTTGAGAACTATACTGCCAAAGCCATTGTTTACATGGTCAGGTCAGGAGTATATCATTCAAAGCAATTTTTAGCAGATGCTTGTATCTGCAGGTAAGGATGATAAAGCTCCCTAGCACATTCTTTAATCTTACACTACTTAGGAGAACTAAGAAGTACAAGGCCAGATGTTAGTTAGTCTATTACAGATCCTGGGTCTGTAAAAAGTTAACTGAGTGAGATCTGTATCATGAAGGAAGGAAGCAAAGAGCACATTCGATTTCTCTCCATTATACACAAACGTAGTCTAAAAGAACCTTTGACAAACGAGTAAGATGCGATTAGATTTTGCCTGCAGAATCAAATGTTCTTCACTTTTATTTCTCATACCTGAGAGATATGACTGAAATACCGCAAAGTTGTCTCTACAGGGCTTTTGAAGAACATCTTCTCCTGAGGTTTCAGCTATGAAGAAAGTAAGACATAGTGAGATTATCCACAATGGAATGAAATAAATACTGACAAAAATGGCAAAGAATGTACCACACTTTTAAAGTGTCTGGTATTATTTCTACTCTGTAGGTAAGAATTCAAATTTTCCTGACCTCATACTGCTGTTAACAGTTGTCACAAATAATTCTTCTATCTGGTGTTTATTCTCTTTTTATAATTGCTATCTGCAAGTCTGCTCCTTTTCTGTATATTTTTTTCTTTCCATATTTGAAAAAAGTTTATCATCAGTACTTTGTTTTTTATTTTTTTAGAGAGGTTTTCGCTATAGGGCTCGTGCGCTCGCCAGACAGAGAGAAACATAGAGACAGAAAGCAAGAAATCACCCCCCGGGGGGATGATCACGCCACAATCCCTTCTCTTCCATTCTCCTCTCGGGATCTTGGGCATGCACACACACGCGCCCGGCGTGGTTTTTTTTTTTTTTTCATAGAGACAGAAAGCGAGAAATCACCCCCCAGGGGGGATGGTCACGCCGCAATCCCTTCTCCTCTATTCTCCTCTCGGGATCTTGGGCACGCACACACACGCACCCGGCGTGAGTTTTAAGCCACCGGGTCTGGGACACGAACCGCGGTCGACTATGTGGGAGTCCAGCGACATAGCCATTACGCTAACTGCTGGTTCCCCCGGCGTGGGTTTTAAGTCACCAGGTCCGGGACGCGAACCTTGGTCAACTACGTGGGAGTCCAGTGACATAGCCATTATGCTAACTGCTGGTCCCAGTACTTTGTTTACACTACAGGCCAGGATGGGCAAGATAGAGTGCTTATGGCAAGGAGAGAAAAACTTACATTATCAGAAAGAGCCAGATGCTTGCAGGCAGTCCCACAAACAGTACATTTTTCTAGGAGAAAAGGGGAAAATATTGTTGGATTCTCATGATCATGAGGTAAGATTTTCCTAAAATACATAGTAAAGGCTGAGCAGACCATCAAAACAGAAAAGGATTCTTACTGAATTTATAATACCATTATGCTAGAAAAGGGTATTAAAGGGAGCTATGTACTCTAGTATTTCCAAACTAATATGTTGAAGTACAAGTAAGGCTTTCACACTGTGCCTCTACCCATCTCCCTCTCTCTTTTAAAATTCCCAATTTTGTTCTATGGAACAGAAGTGACAATTCTTGACTTTGAACGGAAATACTGGAGTACATTTACAAGTGTACTGGGAAGAGTACCAATGGTCTTCAAGTTACTCTTCCTTATCCTATCTACCCGACAGCAGGCACACATTGGGTACTGTAAGAAACTCCCCAGTCATTCCTGCCTGTTGTCACTTTGCTAATATTTCTAGATCTTGTTTTGAACTCTCCTACTCTCACTCTCCACTTAGCCCAGTCTGAAAGAAGCAAAAATGAACATTCCCCATGTTTCCTTGTAAAGCAAAATTGAAGAAGTGCTGACTCTTGAGTAAGATAAATGCTATGCCAGAAAAAAACATCACATGGCATATGCTTCACAGACAAACCACTCTAAAGTGAGCTGCTGTTACCATGGTAAACAGTTTTGTTACATTAGCAGGTAACTTAAAAGGATCATGAGATTTGTATAGACAAATAAGCTTCTCCAGAGGCTGCCCAACCTGACTGTTCTTTTCTTACAGACTAAAGGTTTTCCCAGTCTGTCCTACAATTGTTGCCAGAATGAGCCAAGAGTACAAATCATTCTTCTACTTAAGAACAAAACAAAACAAACTGTCACATCTCTTCATCACCTCCAGGGTACAGAGCCTCCAAGCATCTGGCCAGTAGCCTCATCACTGATCATTTCTCACCTTACTCTTTACACTCTTCGATCCAAGTTATGTGTAGTCTCTGTACTATGGTTTTATGATGTAATATGTCTTTACACAAGCATATCTCTTACATTAGAATAATCATCCTTGCCTTATCCACTTGAAAACACAGTTAACTATTCAAAATCCTATTAAAGCAGTATCTCTCTTGAGAAGTCATCCCTTATTCAAGTCTCCTTTCTAGAACTTAATAGCTGTAAGAAACTTGGCCAAATCACTTACTCTCTCTGGGCCAGTTTCCTCATTTATAAATATTTCTATTAATAATTAGCACCAAGGATTGTAGTGAGGTGTACATTAAATTGGTACAGGTGAAAATGTTTTGTAAACTAAGAAAGTATCATTATTATCTCTTTTTTCTCCTTTTTTTCTAAGTGAGAGATTTTTGCTGTAGGGCGTGTGTGCACACTAGAGAGAGAGAGACAGAAAGCGAAATCATCCCCCCAGGGGGAATGGCCACACCACAATCTCTTCTACTCCATTCCCCTCTCCAGATGTTGGGCACACACGCACACACGCCTGGCCTGAGTTTCAAGTCTCTGGGTCTAGGACTCGAACTGTTAACTATGTGGGAATCCAACCACTACATCATTTGCTAGTCCCAAAAGAAGTATCATTATCATCATTCCTAAACATGTTGATTCATGGGCCAGACCACATCCCTTTAGAAATGATCCTGCATTGCATTAAGCAATTAAATGCTATGAATAGGGAGCCAGATTTCATATGACTGACCATGGTTTGAGCCCAGTGGTGTGAAAAATGTACCGTTACATATGTGCACTCAAAATCCTGATGGGATGGATGGGACCAGCAGCTAGCATAATGGCTATGTCGCTGAACTCCCACGTAGCCGACCGCAGTTCGTGTCCCGGGCCCGGTGGCTTAAACTCACGCCAGGTGCGTGTATGTGCGTGCCCAAGATCCTGAGAGGAAAATGGAGGAGAAGGGATTGCAGCATGGCCATCCCCCCCCCGGGGGGGTGATTTCTCACTTTCTATCTCTCTGTCTCTCTCTGTCTACCACACCCCTATTTAAAAAAACTCCCAAAAAAAAAAAAAAAAAAAAAAAAAAAACAACCCTGATGGGATGGAGATGTGGAAGAAAAAGGATTATGGCATGACCATGACCCAGTGTGTGTGAAGGGTTCTCTCTCTGGCAAGTACACATGCCCTCTGACAATTAAAATAAGATAAATGCTATGCCAGAAAAAAACATCACATGGCATATGCTTCACAGACAAACCACTCTAAAGTGAGCTGCTGTTACCATGGTAAACAGTTTTGTTACATTAGCAGGTAACTTAAAAGGATCATGAGATTTGTATAGACAAATAAGCTTCTCCAGAGGCTGCCCAACCTGACTGTTCTTTTCTTACAGACTAAAGGTTTTCCCAGTCTGTCCTACAATTGTTGCCAGAATGAGCCAAGAGTACAAATCATTCTTCTACTTAAGAACAAAACAAAACAAACTGTCACATCTCTTCATCACCTCCAGGGTACAGAGCCTCCAAGCATCTGGCCAGTAGCCTCATCACTGATCATTTCTCACCTTACTCTTTACACTCTTCGATCCAAGTTATGTGTAGTCTCTGTACTATGGTTTTATGATGTAATATGTCTTTACACAAGCATATCTCTTACATTAGAATAATCATCCTTGCCTTATCCACTTGAAAACACAGTTAACTATTCAAAATCCTATTAAAGCAGTATCTCTCTTGAGAAGTCATCCCTTATTCAAGTCTCCTTTCTAGAACTTAATAGCTGTAAGAAACTTGGCCAAATCACTTACTCTCTCTGGGCCAGTTTCCTCATTTATAAATATTTCTATTAATAATTAGCACCAAGGATTGTAGTGAGGTGTACATTAAATTGGTACAGGTGAAAATGTTTTGTAAACTAAGAAAGTATCATTATTATCTCTTTTTTCTCCTTTTTTTCTAAGTGAGAGATTTTTGCTGTAGGGCGTGTGTGCACACTAGAGAGAGAGAGACAGAAAGCGAAATCATCCCCCCAGGGGGAATGGCCACACCACAATCTCTTCTACTCCATTCCCCTCTCCAGATGTTGGGCACACACGCACACACGCCTGGCCTGAGTTTCAAGTCTCTGGGTCTAGGACTCGAACTGTTAACTATGTGGGAATCCAACCACTACATCATTTGCTAGTCCCAAAAGAAGTATCATTATCATCATTCCTAAACATGTTGATTCATGGGCCAGACCACATCCCTTTAGAAATGATCCTGCATTGCATTAAGCAATTAAATGCTATGAATAGGGAGCCAGATTTCATATGACTGACCATGGTTTGAGCCCAGTGGTGTGAAAAATGTACCGTTACATATGTGCACTCAAAATCCTGATGGGATGGATGGGACCAGCAGCTAGCATAATGGCTATGTCGCTGAACTCCCACGTAGCCGACCGCAGTTCGTGTCCCGGGCCCGGTGGCTTAAACTCACGCCAGGTGCGTGTATGTGCGTGCCCAAGATCCTGAGAGGAAAATGGAGGAGAAGGGATTGCAGCATGGCCATCCCCCCCCCGGGGGGGTGATTTCTCACTTTCTATCTCTCTGTCTCTCTCTGTCTTTCTGGCGAGCACACACGCCCTATTGCAAAAATCTCTCAAAAAAAAAAAAAAAAAAAAAAAAAAAACAACCCTGATGGGATGGAGATGTGGAAGAAAAAGGATTATGGCATGACCATGACCCAGTGTGTGTGAAGGGTTCTCTCTCTGGCAAGTACACATGCCCTCTGACAATTAAAAGAGAACAAGAAAAAAAAGAAATAGGACTTGTTATCAACCAAGTTTTTCCCTATTGTTATTATTATTGTTATTGTTATTCTTTCTCTTTTTTTCTGATCAATCTGACCCTTTGTGATTTTTCCCAGCCACAGACTTCAAACCATTGTCCAGTATATTTTGGTGCTCAAGTAATAGATTTGCTAAATCATCTCCTAAATTTTCATAAACCATTCTTTTTTTTTAATAGACCATAGATTAGTTTATTTTTAACAACCATCATGCCATAAATTCATAGGGAATAGGTTCCAGTAGCTCAGGCTCCTTTCCATTGGTTCTTACAAAATGTGCTTCTCTGGGTGGAGCAGGCTGGCTCCCAGGTACCTTTCTCTTTGGCTTCCTTCTTTTTCTGGTCATTTTTCTTCACACATTTTAGGAAGCTATCTCTGCTCTTAGAATGCTTAATAAGCTCAATATGCACATTAATTCTCTTGGCAAGAAACTTGCCCTTAACTTGTTTGTTTACAACAATGCCAACAGCATGCTAGGTGACACTGTAGACTCTCAGTTTTGCCATGGTAACATTTGTGGGGCATTCCTTTTTGAACAGTACCCATTCCCTTGATCTCTGTAATATCTCCCTTCTTGTAGTAGCATGTATGTTGCCAAAGGAACCACTCCACATTTTCTAAAAGGCCTAGAGAACATATATTAGGTGCCTCTCCTCTTTCCTTTGCGGGTGCCTCTCTTCTTTCCCTTTGTGTTCGTCATTTTGGTTAATTACTGGAAGATGGCAGTTCCAGTCAAAAGGGACACACCAATCTTTGTTAATGGATTCTTTCAGTTCCCCAAATTGACACTTCCTTCAGTACCCACACCACCATGGCCTACTAAGTGATTTTTATCCTAAGCCACACAGACAAGTGGCTAAGGATTGTATCTAAGTTGAAAACATTTTTGTCTAAATCTGAAAATAGTTAAATCACTCACCCAGAGTCACACACTTTTTACAGAAAATATGGCCACAGCTGGTGACAAAGAAATGGGTCCCATCTTTTCTAAAGCACTGGTTGCAGTGAAACCAATCCATTCTGGAGCAGATAAAGAAAAAAAGGTTAACATGGGGCATTTTAATTACAGCTGTTCCACAATCTATGTAACAGTATTTATTTAGCTTTAATGGCTTATTAGGATATAACTGTATCATTGTAGGTATTCCAGTTGTTCATAAGGAAGTATATATACCTATAAAGTAAAAAAAAAAAAAAAGAAGACTGTAGCCTATTATACCATTACTTTAAAAAGAAATATATAGGGACCAGCAGTTGGCATAATGGCTATGTCACTGGACTCCCATGTAGTCAACTGCAGTTCAAGTCCCAGACCTGGTGGCTTAAACTCACACCGGGTGTGTGTGCATGCATGCTGTCCAAGATCCCGAGAGGAGAATGGAGAAGAAGGGATTGTGGTGTGACCATCCCCCCCCACCCTGGGGTAGGGGGTGATTTCTTGTTTTCTGTGTCTCTGCCTCTCTCTGTCTTTCTGGCAAGCATGTCCTATAGCAAAAGAAACACTCCAAAAAGAAAGAAAGAAAGAAAGAGAGAGAGAGAGAGAGAGAGAGGGAGGGAAGGAGGGAGGGAGGGAGAGGAGGGAAGGGAGGAAGGAAGGAAGGAAGGAAGG